ACCTACCATCTCAATCCATTCAAATTTTAGAGTATCTCAGAATAACAAGAGTTGTTAGGGACCCTGGAGGTCTTCTAGTCCAACCCCCTGCTCAAGCAGGAGACCCTATACTATTTTAGATAAGTGGTTGTCCAATCTCTTCTTAAAAACCACAAGTGATGGAGCATCCACAACTTCTGAAGGCAAGTCCTTCCACTGGTTAATTGTTCTCACTGTCAGGAAATGACTGCTTAGTTCTGGGTTGGTTCTCTCCTTGATTAGTTTCCATCCATTGCTCCGTGTTCTGCCCTCAGATTCTCTGGAGAACTGGTTGATCCCCTCTTCTTTGTGGAAGCCCCTCAAGTTTTAGAACACTGCTATCATATCACCCCTAGTACTTCTTTTCATTAATCTAGATATACCCAATTTCTGCAACAGTTCATCGTATGATTCAACCTTGAGCCCCCTAATTATCTTGGTTGCTCTTCTCTGCACTTGTTCTCAAGTCTCAACATCTTTTTTATATCATGGCAACCAAAGCAGGGTGCAATATTCCAAGTGTGGCCTTACGAAGGCATTATAAAGCAGTATTAACACTTCACATGATCTTGATTCTTTCCTTCTGTTAATGCAGCCCAGGATTGTATTGGCTTTTTTGGGTGGCTGCAGCATCTCTGCTGAAAAGTTTTCAGTGTTCCTTCAACTTGCTTATAAATCTTAAAGGCAGCATACAATTTATTAACATTTAATTGTAAAAGTTGATATCTATATTTTATATTTCATCTTGTTTACAACCATCTATACTTGTGTAACAGTCTGTTTATATTGCACACATGATAATGTTGAAATTCATACATATGTACAATCATGTGAAATTATGCTATTATTAATACTTGTTTTGCAAATATTCTATTTACCACTGTAGGTGGGCTGTTTTGCCAAATGAATCATAAGAATTATTTTTGCCAGTTTATTAATAGGTGTTAGGTAGATTCTAAATGTTAAGTGGATACAAAGGAATTAAAAACAAAACAAAACCACAATCAACACAATCTTGATTAGTATTGTTACTTTTGTGAACCATCCACATATGAACGAAGTACGATGCCCTCTATTTTAAGTAGATGGCTTGTTAAGCTTAACTTCTAAAAGATCACACAAATATAATGTAAGCACTAAAAGTACTTTGTAATAATTTTCTCATTGGATATTTATTAATTTCTTTAATAAATAATAATTTATTGATCAGATATAAGCCTTCTGATTTGTTAAAACAAAGAGAATTACAGTTAGAAACAAAATCAAAGTAAACTTCAAAGGGAACGCATCAAAGTTGCCACAAGATGCAGCTGCTTTAATCCACTACAGAGCAGTTATGTGTCTGCACAATACTGTTCATGAAACAATGGTTTTGACAAATTGCACAGCCCTCATTTGTATTCTCTCTGACACAACAACTCCATATACAAGCTAGCCTCAATTACTGAAGTCTTGTGATTATTTGGAAACTTTAAATGACTATGCCCAGAGAGATGAACAGGCTAAAGGTATGGAAAGTGCTGAATTAAAGCAGTCATTAGCAGGAAATGCCACAATATTACTTTTCATGCTAAAATTTCAGGCCTTTTATTGTCTTCATGCTCAGACATGTGGAACTTATCGGAGGTAACCTGATGCTTGCAAATGACTAATTAGCTGAAATTTAGAAAGGCAAATATAAAAGCAATTGGGGGATAATACAAAGTTTGTCCTGCAGCCATATCAGATACTATTTTTTGCAGTGCTTAATTTTTCTCCTTCCTCCCTCCCTTTCTTCATTGTTAAAAAAATATATAAAACAATTATGCTTTTCACTTTCGAGTATGCAAAATGATGCCAAGAATGGAAAAAGAGCCAGAAAGAATAAGACAAAGAAATTAAGGAAATGTAGCTAAACCTATTTTCCATCAACACCTTTTCATTGTTATTCTCCTAGCTTTTCTATCTTTGCAGATCATCCAAACTTCCAGCACCTCCCTGCCTCTCTCCCTCCATTTCAAAATATTATTTCAACACAGATTTCAAAAGCTGAACCAACAGCTGTCATTTTTATATGTTCATTTGTCCCCTGTCAGAATCCCATGGAAGCCGATTTCACATGCCAATCCAAGTATCATTGAAGACTCCAAAACAATACATTGATATTGTAAAGCAGACATGTTGCCCCAAATAAATCTCAGTCTTTTTAAAATTGTGGGTTTGGGTTTTTTTTTGTTTTTTTAGCATGGACTACTGAAAATTTTGACATTCGTGATTCACCTAGTATCTTCAATCTGCACCAACTAATTACTCCCAAGTAGTCTTTTAAAAAAAGTCTCAATAACTATGAAATAGCAACTAGCCAAGAAACACAGAACATCTTTCCTTGAGGAGTGGACTTAGGAGGAGGAAGAGGAGCAGTGGTAGGATTCAGTCGGTTCACAGCGGTTCAAAAGAACCGGTTGTTAACTTTCTTAGCAGTTTGGTGAATTTCTTTGTTGGAAGAAGTCATTAGGGCAGAGAACCTGTTGTTAAATTATTTGAATCCCACCACTGTAGAGAAGATAGAAGATAAAGTAGCTTTTGTAACCTAAGATCATCCATTCAACTTGTTGTAAGGGAATCTGAACAGCCCCCAAGAGAAAAGATAAGTGAAGAGGCTGCTTCTACAGGTAGTCCTCGACTTACGACCACAATTGAGCCCAAAATTTCCATTGCTAAGCAAAAAAGAAAAAAAAAAGTGGCTAAGTGCGTTTTGCCCCGTTTTACGACCTTTTTTCAGACATTAAGCGAATGACTGCAGTTGTTACGTGAATAGCATGGTTGTTAAGTGAATCCGGCTTCCCCACTGACTTTGCTCGTGAGAAGGTCATAAAAGGGATGGTTGCCATCATCATAACTATATGCCAGTCACCAAGTGTCTAAATTTTGATCGGGTGACCACGTGGATGCCGCGATGGTCATAAGTGTGAAAAAGGAAGCCACTTTTTTCAGGTGTTAACTCTGAACAGTCACTAAACGAATGTTCGTTAAGATGAGGAATACCTGTATTCTATGCCACCCATCTTGGATTTAACTATTATTCCACCAAGAAACCTGCACAAAAGGCCTTTTAACACAGTCTGCCCTGATGACTAGAAAACATGTCGGGTTGATCTGACAAGACAGGAAAGGAAAGGAAAAAAAAAATATGTTTTCATTAAAAACTGAGCAGAGCCAACTTTTTCCCTTCCATCTCCTCAAGCCAACATTTCTCTGGAGCTTTCCAGGATCAGCAAACCCAGAAATCCGGCAATTTGGTTAATCAAGATTAAAAAGAATTCGGAGCAATTCTACCTGACTGCCTCTTTGATTATATTTTACTCTTCTTAGGTTTTAATCTCAGCATTCCTGTTGGGTTTATCATTGCCAGCCTGGCCTGATAGCAGAACATCTAACCAACATTCATAGCTAAAGGTTTATACAGGGGTGGGATCCTGGTTCGGGGAGCGTGCATATGCGCACCAAATGCACACTGCACGCACGTGCGCACTACCGGCTCCAGCAAGCATTTACCTTCTCCAGCTGAGTGCCACAAAAAGCAGCTGAGGAGGTAAAAGCACAGGATAAAGGACAGCCTAGAGCCCAGGTGGGCCAAACACACAACCAGACGGTCACCAAAGCAAACTATTTTGGTGTCAGCTGCACTTCGGAGCTACCGATCCTATAGAACTGGGCTGAACCAGTAGCATCCCACCCCTGGGTTTATGCAAGGCTTGGCTGTGGCTAAGACTGGCAGAGAAATTATTTTCTAGGCCAAAACCTGACGAGTGAAAAAAAGAAACGATGAGGCCGCATGATCTCCAACACCTACCAAAGGTTCTAAAAGTGAAGTCGATTTTCTAGGCAACAAGAACAAACCAGAACAACATACAGGGAGATTCCTTAACTTATGACCACAATGGAGCCCCAAGTTTATGCTGCTAAGTGAGACATTTGTGGAGAGAGTTTTGCCCCCACTTTTATGACTTTTTTTTTTTTACCAAAGTTAGCAACCCGGTCAGTGGTGGGCTGCAACCAATTAAACAACTGGTTCTGTGAGCGCATGCTTTGCACCGATCGTCGTTCGTGCTGGTTCACTAAAACCAGTCCAAACCGGTAGCTTAACCCGGTGTTTAAGTGAACCTGATTTCCCCATGGACTTTACTTGTCCGAAGGTCACAAAAGGGGAATCAATGACCCCGGGATACTGCAACCGTCATAAATATGAGTCAGTTGCCAAACATCTGAATTTTTATTCATGTGACCATGGAGAGTTGTAACTGTGAAAAAAACGGTCCAAAATGTACAAAAAAGTACAAAAATGTAATAGTCCAAAAACTTCTTTTCAGTGCCATTGTAACTTTGAACAGTGACTAAACAAGCTAGCGTAAGTAACGGACTACTAACGTCATTGCCCAGAGAATCATTGGTTGCTCTCTCCCCTCTTTGGAAGAGCTTTATAGCTCCCACTGCCTTAAGAAAGTTCAAAACATTCTCAAAGATCCATCTCATCCTGGGCACCCTTTTTTTGAACTATTACCATCTGGCAGATGGTACAGGACAATAAAAACAAGGACAAATAGGCTGAAAAACAGCTTCTATCCCACAGCAGGAACTCTATTGAATTCTACTGTATAGTGCAATATCAGGAGTTTTCAATTCAGTTGCATAGAATGCAAAAGATGTGTGTTTGTGTTTTTATTTTTATGGTTACAATGTACACTGAAGATGGCATTTAATTTTGTTGTATAAGGTGCAATGGCAATAAACTAAACTAAACTATACTAAAGTAAACTAAACTAAACCTGTATACCTGCAATAACTTCTCTGATGATATAATTTTCTAATCGGCAACCGACTCCACTAAGAAGTTACACAAGGCTAAAAGTTTCCACGCCATCTCCTTCAGACCTCGCCCGTTTTTCCTACTGCCCCTGATGAGGAAATTTAACAAGCGGAGCATTAAATGGGCAAATAATTACCTTTTAACTCTTGGAAGAGGCCAACATCAATTAACACGCAGGAGCTCTTAACAAACAGAGAGAGGAGGAGGAGGGGGCCCAGAGCAGTTCCTGCAGTCATCAAGGTCCTTCCTAACAGGAGGAAAACCAAAAAGAAGAGAGGGAAATGGTTAACTATTAATTTTCATAACCCTGATGCTGTAGAGAAGATGCTAACTCCCAAATATGAAAAGAATAATCAAGACGTAGGCTGTGAAGGCTCCAACAAATTCACCCCCATTCAAATCTCAAGTCTCTAGCTGCATCTCTCAGAGTAAAACGATTTATTAGGAGTGGCCATGTTGGCGTTAGCTGGGTGCAGTTGACCCTAAAATACATCATTCATTTCCCCCTTGACCCTGGTCTCCCACCCCCCTGGGCGTATATTCTCCAATGGAACACATCCATAGCCAAGAGTCATCAATCATGCTGTCCAGTAATAATCTTGTACACCAACAGCTTCAGCTGCCTAGGCGATTATCTGAGGCATTTAAGGAATGCACTGCTTTCCCCCCCACTCCCTTTCTGCTGGCAGCTAAAGAGACCAAAGGAGTATTTTTAGTTGACAGCAGGCATGATATTTAATCTTCCACAATTACACTGCTAAGCGAGGTGGATATTAAGTGGGGTTCACCCCCATTGCACGACCTTTCTTGCCACCAAATGTTAAGAGAATCACTGCAGTTGTTAAGTGACCCCAGGACATTGCAACCATCATAAATATGAGTTAGTTTCCAAAGCATCCAAATTTTGATCATGTGACCATAGGGATTCCTGCAATATAAATAACAACTAAGATAATTAAAAGACAAAAACATATGAAGAACGGTTGCAGGATTTGGGTTTGGCCAATCTCCAGAAAAGAAGTTCTGGGGGGGACATGATAGCAGTATTTGAGGGGCTGTCACAAAGAAGAGGGAGTCAAGCTATTCTTCCAAAGCACCAGAAGACAAGAAACAATGGATGGAAACTATTCAAGGAGAGAAGCAATTTAGAACTAAGGCGACATTTCCTAACGGTTAGAACAATTAACCAGTGGAACAACTTGCCTCCAGAAGTTGTGAATGCTCCAACACTGGAAGTTTTTAAGAAGAGATTGGATAACCATTTGTCTGAAGTGGTGTAGGGTTTCCTGCTTAAGCAGGGGGCTGGACTAGAAGACCTCCAAGGTCTCTTCCAACTCTGTTCTATTCTATTCTATTCAGTGGAACGGCTTGCCACCAGAAACTGTGGGCACCCCATCACTGGAGGTTTTTAAGAAGAGACTGGACAGCTACTTGTCTAAAATGGTATAGGGTTTCCTCCTTGAGTAGGGGGTTGGACTAGATTAGAAGGCATCCAAATCCCTTCCAGCTCCATTCGGATACTTTCTGAGTATTTAAGACTGTTTTATGAAAGGTACACACAGTTGTTGTTTTTTTTCTCAAAGCTCTGCTCATGAATAAACATTTCACAAAAAACCTTCCTTGTAGTAAGCAACCTCTTGAAATGCTTCCATTAAAGGTAATAAACCGAGAACACTAAGCTGTGGTCGCTTCATCACTGGAGGCTTTTAAGAAGAGACTGGACAGCCACCTCTCTGACATGGTATAGGGTCCCCTGCTTGAGCAGGGCGAAAACTGGTCATAAGTCACCCTTTTCAGGACTGTTGTAACTTGAAATGGTTACTAAATGAGCAGCGGTACATTGAGCACACCTATAATAATGGTGGGCTGAAAGGGAGATGGAAGAAGGGAAAAAGAAGGATAAGCTGAAATCTCCATTCTATGTATGCATCTCATTTGTTCATGTGCTTGCAGTACCAAGCATTTCTTTTTCCACTCCAGCCAAGTTGCATCTATGTATAGGCAGACACAAGGCCCACTGCATGGAAATCACAACAGTTTTAGCAAATGTTGCATCCATCACCACCCCAAAATCTTAATGCGCAATCTCATCAAATCCCAGCGATAATTAACGAGGAGATAGCTGCATTCACAATCCTCTGCAACTGTAAATTTTTCTAATGGGTTCGGGGCCAACCATTTTCCCAAGTCGTGCTATTAGCAAAAAAATAAAATAAAATAAAAAATGAATGAGCCTGCAGCCAAAGCAGCATGTGCTAGGATTTCATTAGAACTCCTGCTGAGCAGGGTAATTTCTGGTCAGAGCTTGGGTTTAAGAGAACCAAGATTAAATTAGGTACCTTGGAATACGTGTTTGCTGCGCTGTAGGTTTACTTATTTAGATTTCTAGCCTGTTGTAATCGACGCAATCTTATAATGTTTTAGCTTTTTTTCCCTCACAAGAGGTGAATAAATGTGAATAGGGGAGGGGAGAAGGAAGGAAGGAAGGAAAGAGAAGAGAAGAGAAGAGAGAAAGAAAGAAGAAAGGAAGAAAAGGAAGGTGGGAAGGAAAGAAGGAAAGAAGAAAGAAAGAAGGAAGAAAGGAGAGAGTGGAAGGAAGGAAGAAGGGAAGAAAAGAAAAGAGAGAAAGAAAGAAGGAAGGAAAGAGAAGAGAGAAAGAAAGAAGGAAGGAAAGGAAGGAAGGAAAGAAGGAAAGAAGAGAGGTGGAAGGAAGGAAGGAAGGAAGGAAAAGGAAAGAGAAGAGAGAAAGAAAGAAGGAAGGAAGAAGGAAGGAAGGAGAAAGTGGAAGGAAGGAAGGAAGGAAGGAAGGAAGGAAGGAAGGAAGGAAGGA